TAATTGCAGAGATGGCTGAGACTCAACAACAGCCCAGCTGTGATGAGGGTGCTCAGCTCAAATTCCCGTGGGGCAGGACTTCCCCACACTTGGCTGGGCTGTCTTCAGTGTACATGACATGTCTGCAAGGTGGGACTGGACCCTGTCCTTACCCTGCTTCAGGTACTGCAGTTTGACAGCTACTAATAAGAGAAAGGTGAGACTGAACAGCATGGAAAGTGCTGAAAGCTCAGTAAGGCCTTCTCTGCCTGGAGAAACTTCAGCATTAAAACAAACAATACATATTTTTCTTCTCTTGTTCCACCTTTTAGTATAGTAAACAACATTCTTGGTACAAACATGACCAAACCTAGCAAGATAGGGAGAGGTTAGATCTTCATCTCTGCTGGTCAGCAAGGGCAACTTGGTGCTCTTTAAAAGAGAAACTTTGACTCCCTCAGAAGCAGCAGAGGATAATATCTCAGCAAAACTTGCACTCCTGTAAACCTCTATACTTCCTTTCTAGAGGAGGGATTTATCCTCCTGTTCAGCCTATGTTTAACAAGCTATAAGGACATTCAGTGGCATCACATCTTGAGACACTATAGTTGCTGTAAAGATGTATTAATGAAAATGAGTAAGCTAAAAAATAAATCAATTTATCACAATCACAGCACAAGTTTTCTGTGTGACCTGCTGTGGATACTGCAGGTAATAAATACAGACTTTCAGGAGAAAAAGCAGAGAAAGAGTACAGCCAATATAAAATAATAAAATACAATTAAGAATTTAAAAAAGGCAGACTTCTTTCACTATACTGAAGGGGAAATGAGAGAAATTGCAGCCAGGTCATCACTATCCTGTGATATATCACCACTATATCCTGATATAAAATGCTTTGAATTAGCAAATGCAAGATACCTAATCCTACTTGGTTAGTGGCTTTCTCTCAAGTGGACCTGCATTTTTAGATAGAAATTAATCCAGGATGAACTGCAGATCCAGATGGCTAGTAGCACCCTCAATGTGGGCATGAGCTTCTCAAAAAGAAAACACAGATTTTACTTCTGCAGAGGAACATTGTGAGACAGGTATCAAGGCAGACAACACCTGACCTGCTACATCCTGCATTTACCTAACAAGCAACTACTTGTAGGCCAGACAGGCCAGGAAAGAAAGACTGAACCCTCTGTGGATTGAGGTGTCCTGACCACAGGTAACTTATCAGAAGTGGCAGGTATCCATCCATACATAGAGCTGATCCCACAAAGGCATTCTTCAGCTAATTGTGCTTCACCCTCTGTTTTTAATCACCCTTGACTGGGTTGGTGTTAAACCCAGCATTTTGAATTATTGGCCCCAACCTACAAGTATGTAGCAATTTATTCGTATGCATGTGTGTGATTTTTTTTTTCCCAGGAAAACAAGATGGGGAAAGGAGATGGTGCTGTAGTTTCAAGACTGTGATTAGAGTACCAGGAATATGCACCTGTATAATGCAAGGTGACTTTGCTCTGCTTGGATCAGGGACCCAGAAGGGGCTGAGCCTCTAATACAGCAGAAGCACAAAGGATGGCAAACCTGCAGCACTGGGTCTGGCACACAGGGTTCTGCCAACAGCCCCATCACCAAACCCACATGCACCATTCATGGGTAGGGACCTGATCTGCAGGCACTCAGCCAGCTCCTTCTGACTGTACTTGTCTTTATGAGCACCTTTTGATTAAGGATTAAACCAATAGTGTTTCTGAGGTACTGACTGTTGTCCACAAGCAATCACAAAGGTGCAAAAAGGCTTTAACAAATTTCTCAGCTGACTACCCCAAACCTATAGCAATTAGTGGTAGCCAGCATTTCCTGAGCTCTTTTGGGCTTCTCCAACACACTGCCCTGACACCAGAGGATTTCTGCAGGTTTCTCACTCAGGTCAGGAAAGTTTTTTTTTTTTTCCCCTCCATGTGGAGATTTGCATCATTTTTTCCCCTGAAAGCTGGCATAAGGGAAGGGATACACCACACTATGCTATTTTTCATATCCAGATGCACTGCATCAATGGATGGCCAAAGCAGCTCTCAAAACATACATCTGCTCTGCCATCTCTACATTTTCCATCCAATAAATTCTGTGCCTATGCATTTTAGTGATCGATTCTCTCCAATTATTTGTCCCAGAGCATAAAGCTGCCCTGAAGCCAGGAGAAGCATCAGCAGTCAGTAGAAAGAGGGAGTGTACAACATCAAAGAATCACACAATGTCAGAGTACAATACTCCCTGTGTCTGGATCCAGGGAAGGAAGACCCTGGACTCTGTCTATTACCAGTAAGTGCAGAAAGAACAGCTCATGGCAGACCAGCCCAGTCCAATGGTCTGCATTCCTCTCCTTTCCTATCCTCTTTCAAATAGTTTCATAGTAGTTAATAGAGAAAGCTGTACAATTTTGCTACTTCTAACCATAAAACATGATTATAACTAAAGATGATTTGGCGTTAGTCTCTTGAGTGACAGAAAACCAATTTCTTTCTCTTTCGATATGTAATAAAAAAAGAAAAAAGCCTCTGTGCAAGTGTTACGGATTTGCATTTTTTCCTATCTTCTTCCATATTCATTATGTTACAAATATGTTATTTGAGGCTCCACGACTACTTACAGAACCTCTACCTGCTTACAAAACCCTACACCACCAGAGGGGGCTCAAAGACAAGTTATTCAGAAACCTGCTGCATGGGAACTCGAGTTGCTGTCTCTCCTGACACAGATCAAGCATTTTCTATGGAAGCTCTTTTCCTTATATTTTACTCTCATGCATAATTGAAGCAGGATATTAGAACGGCTTTAAGGAGAGGCTTAAAAATATAGGTAAAGAACAGAGTTTTTAGGTCATAGTTTTCTAAAGGTGTGAGCCCAGAACTGCTCAGTGGTTTTGTAAGCATGCTCATTAAATGTATAGCACTTTTAAATGCCAAGGAGCATAATGTTTGGACGTAGCTGAGGGGCCATTTCCTCCTGTACATTCTCACTCCCAGTAAATCTGCCCCGTGGGTAGACTGTTTTTCAGGAGTCTGACTCACACGAAGCTGATTTCACAAAACAAAGGCAGTGTTGGCTGACAGAGACCACCTTTCCTCCCTCTCATTACTCAAACCATGGCCCGAGCTTGTATCTGGGCAAGGATTTGTTTGTCACCGTACTGTGCTTCCCACTATTTTTATCTGCTATATTTTCCCATTATTTCCATTTTTCCTGTCCCTAGCTCCTACTGTGTATCCCCAGGCTGTATTTAGTGGTTTTTGCACTGATTCTCCTTCCAGCTCTCAGCCTCTAGATGGCACTGATTCTTCACTGAGAAGACATTGCTCTTTTCCTAAACCAGATTTAAAAACAAAAATGCTTCCAAGAGCATATGCCCACACTTCCAAGTGGGATATGCCCACACTAATAGAAATTAGCCAGTCTTCAGGGAAACAGCAAAACACTTTTTTTTTTTTTAAATATAAATTATATATAAAGCAACATGAACACACAGCAGGCTGAAGGAGGAGAGTACATGTGCTTTGGATTCAGCTCGCTGTATTCAGGGAAATGCCTGGGCTGTTCCACATGGCTGCAGGAGAGTGATCAAACTTTCGATAAGCCTGGGTCTATTTTAAATGATATGGGCAGATCTGGCTGGTAAATGCAATTTTACCCTTGAACACATCTTAGTTCAGGCAAGTCAGGGAATAAATGCTGTAAAAGCTGCTTATTGAACCAGGGTGGAACACCTGCAGAGCAGATCTTACTACGCTCAAATACAATGTTGTGATGTGATGTCCCCATCCACATGACTGATATCCAAACACATTTGAGAAATTCTGGATGTTAGTACTTTTCAATAGAGAGTGTTTGAATGGCTAAACGAAGTCTGCTGAAATAGAATTAGTTTAGGTTAAATCTAGATTATAACTCCTTACTGCTTCCAAATTCAATTTCACAATGCAGACTCCTGGCAGATCAGTAAGATAACAGCATTTCAAGAAGAACTCGCAAATTCTTAAAGAAAAAAATTGTTATTTTCTTTAAAGAAAACATGCCTCAAATCTTTTTTTTTTTTAATGTGCATATTAAGAAAAAAAATTTCTGTTAAGGAGCAGAGTGTTTACCTGGCACCTAGCAAAATTTTGGAGAGCTGTAAGTAACACAATGGATACAGTTTTTAATACTTTTAATACATGAATAACCATCAATGCAATCTGTTTTTCCTAACTTATTACACCTAAGATTTTCCTACAATTCCCATAGATAATGTAATGAATATCTAGGTTTCTGCTTCCCTCAAAAAAGTATGCCTTTTCTAAAGTCTGCATTCAATTCACCTTTAAACTGAATCTGAAAAATCACATGCAGGCTTTTATGCCCCAGTCCACCGAGTCTGTGTTATAAAAGTGATCTTCAACTAAAGAAATGACAAGACTAATTTCTGGTTGGCATAGTGACACAGCAGCAATAGGCTATATAAAACTTTCATGTTCCTTATATTAGGTACCTATAGAAGATATTGTCTTCATATTTGATGAGCCTTAGTTTGGCATTTGTTCTGTGATGAGATAGAGCTACAGTGATAGATCATTTTTTCACTTCTGGTAATGCAATGTGTTGTAGGATCTTTGGACAAATAAAGCTGAAAATCTCATATAAAACAAGAGGGCAGATAGTTGTCATCTTTAGGGAGCACCTTGACCAGTTATTGAAAAACATAAAATAAAATCTCTCTATAATAATATTTTAAGGTGTATTGCAGGATTAAAAGGAAAACATTCAAAAGAGTGCAGTAATCTTTCTTCCAAGGGTTCCATACTTATCTAACTACTTATCCAAACATAACATGGAAGTTGTGGCTTACCCCAGCTGACAAATAAGCACCACACAGCCATTCGCTCACCCTCCCCCCTCCCTCTCTTTTCAGTCTCACTGAAAACATACAAGGTGAAGGAAGTACTCCAACTCCTCAACATTAAACAACGGCAGAACCCAGGAACACTTACCTGCCAGCTTCTGAACTTGAGTCACTTCCAAGCTACTTCCCAGTGAAGTCTGACCACCAGGATTTTACTGTCCTGAGAAGGCACCACCAAGGTAACTAGCTCATAGTCTCTAAAATTCTTTCACAGAGAGAGTAAAAAAAACATGAAGGAAAAGCAGCCTGCTGGGGAATACTGAGTCCATTTCACCATGACACTAGAAAGGTGCCCTAGGTAACTTGAGCCTCAAACTCCCCTGGAGAAGCAATTCTTTCTATAAGTCCTCATGCTTCCTATATAGCAAAGATGAAATTATCCCCACCTGGCAGGTTTCACTTAACAAAGGTGGAGCCAAGAGACCTTATGGAATAGGCTCATCCACCTGGCTTCAATGTTTTAAAGCCAATTGCTCCTTATCAGTAATAGAAATAACCTGACAAGGGGCTTAGTGGTTAGAGTTGACCTAATGAACTAACCACAAAAGTTGCGTAAGGCTCATATTTCTGCTAGTCATTCTGAGAGGAAAATTAGTACAGAGCCTGATAAAATAAGATGAATAAACATAAATAAAAGAGAAAATGATCTTAAGGCAAAATGGCTCTCATAGATTTTCATCTGTCATCAAGTGTTTCATTAAGTGTTCCTCTAGATCTGGAAGTTTGAAGAGGGTTGCAGTCTCCAAGCTCAGATACAGCCACATATTAGTCTGGCACAACTGATTTCTGTGTTCCTTGCGCTAGCTGTTCCTTCACCTCCTCTTAGTGACAAGGAACACAAGGACATGTGTCTCTTTTGTGCTCCTCCGTTAGCAAACAAACCAGAACAGATTAAAGCCACTTTCTTCAAGTCAGTAAAATATTGGGCTACAAAGATGGTGAGGGGCCTAAAGGGAAAGATGTATGAGTAGCGGCTGAGGTCACTTGGCCTGTTCAGCCTGGAAAAGAGGAGGCTGGGGGGAGACCTCATCGCGGTCTACACCTTCCTCACGAGGGGGAGTGGAGGGGCAGGTGCTGATCTATTCTCTTTAGTCACCAGTGATAGGACCCGTGGGAATGGTGTCGAGCTGAGGCAGGGGAGGTTGAGGCTAGACATTAGGAAGAGGTTCTTTACCGAGAGGGTGGTCACACACTGGAACACGCTCCCCAGGGAAGTGCTCACTGCAGCAAGCCTGTCAGAGTTTAAGAAGTGTTTGGACTGTGCACTTAGCCACAGGGTCTGAATTTTTGGGTAGACCTGCGTGGTGCCGGGAGTTGGACTCGATGATCATTATGGGACCATTCCAACTCAGGATATTCTATGATTCAATACCGCCTTTGGTTTCAGTGAGAAGCCAGGCCCTAACAACTCAAGCGTCTTCTGGATGTTTCTTTCGGTGTTTCTTCTGGGTAGGATAATTTCATTTCCCTTTGGAAAACTTACAAGGATGTAGTAACAAAAACAAAGGCATAAAACAGTACCTGAGGCATAGGCTACTTTTCAGCCTGCAGCCGACTAGCTAAGTGATTATCATTTCAGACAAATATGATCTACATTATGTGAAGTGTTCTAGCATGCTTATAATCCAACAAAGGCCAGAAAACGGGACCTTCGATTTAAGACTGTATGGAAAAGAAAACAAAGACAACAACAACAGAGAAGGAATTTTACCTTCACCTAAATTTTATTAAAAAAAAAAAAAAGACAAAACAACTTTTCCTTCACCAACTTTTATTATGTTGCATCTCCTTCAGGTGTCCACCATCACCAAAAAAAAATAAAAAATAAATAAAGACATTGTGGCATAGAGGTATAATTTCAGTTCACACCAGAAGACATTCTTCTCACTGCTAAGCCCCACAAAGTGCCAAAAATCCCTCCAAAAAGTAATGTATTTACAAATTAGTTTTACATGTTGGCATTATTTACTTGTCTGATCTTGCATTCAGGGCTCGATCTCTCTGGAGGGGAACATGTCTTGTCGTGCAAGGTTGTTTGGTTGTATGACTGACAACAGGACTTTAAAAGTTTGAATGGTTTTATAGAAGCAAAATACAGAAGAGTACACTATCTTCAAGGGAAACTTGGAAAGCTACCTGTTCCTTCTCAGGTTTAAAGTTTTCCTTGAAAAGGTGTAAGCATCTGTTAAGGTGTAAGCAAAAGTGTAATCAACTGTTTGAGTATAATTCTTACATATACATGAACATTTTCCTCTCCAATTTCCAACTTGGAGTGCAACATTTTTCACCATACTCTTAGATCAGGATTCTGATTCTAATAATGGTTCCTAGTGCAAATTTCCAGAGCAGAGAGAAGCAAATCAAAACCTGACTGCTTTGAATGAGATGAAGAGCAAACAAACATAAATGAAGAAAATAAACTTGTAGGAATGTTTTTAAATAATTTTCATTGTCCAAAAGCTTTAAATCAGTTGAATCCTTGAAAGTTAATTAATGTAAACTCGGGTTGCATCACTGAATTTGAAGGAGTAAGATAGATGCGCCATTGAAGAGCCTCAGTCACAGTTCAAACTGGCACTGCCTCTAACTTCAGAAGAATGAAAGAGAAAAGCACATCTTTCTACCTTGCCAGCTACTGTCAGACCTAGAGGGGGGAAAAAAAAAAGGAAAAAAAAGAAAAAAAAAAGTCATTCAAATTAAAAATTAATGTTTTTTGTTTTGTTTTGTTTTGTTTTAGGACATTTCTCCAAATATGTAATATTTAGTAGTAAGCAGACTACAAATGAAAGGGAAGGTGAAACAGTAGAAGGTATTTGCGTGGCCTTAATTTACATGGCCATTGACAACAACCACAATCTGCAATGATTTGTAAATGCCTTACACCTTCACCCTTGAGACAGAAAAATGAGATTTCCACATTATGTAAGGGGAGTGCAATCCCTCTCAAAACACGGGAGTCTGGGATACACTATTGAGTATTGAAAATCTTAAGACTAGGCAGCACCAAACTCAACTGAGAAGGAAGGATGAGTCTCTCTGGATGTTCACGAAACAGAAAGGAAACTCAGATATTAGCCCTAAGCAACTATTTCTAGAGCTGGGATGGAAACGGGTTCCATCTAAGCCAGGGACCATTTCAGCATCTCCAAAGCTACAGGAATGGTTGATTGCTCTGTTGACTAGTGTTGCTGGTGAAAAAATTCTGGGGACCAGATCTGGGGATCAGGTTTAAAATTAAAACATAAGTTAAAACATCAGTGTGTTATCAATACTCTTTTCATCCTAATCCAAAACATAGCACCCTACCAACTACTAGGAGGAAAATTAACTCTACCCTAGCTTAAACCAAAATTTTAGCAGTCTTCTCAAAAACTTCAGTTCTCAAAAACTTCTGAACAAAGTTAAACCCAGTTGACTATCTTCTTAGTGTAATGAAGCATTCTGCTAACTCTTACTTAAATTACATTAAAATTAAAAAGGCAACAAGTAATGTTATCCTGTGAAATTAATCCTTGTATAAATAGCTTAGGATACAGTTAAGTAAACCAGGGAAAGGCTGAATATAAGACAGAAGAATGCAGAAATAATTTGAATAGTCCCTGCCATTGCTAATGATGATCTTCTGATTTGGTTTTGTTCGTTTGTTTGTTTGTTTGTTTTGTTAGTTTTCCTGTATTGATATTAGACTTTCATTCAAGGCTTGCTAAATTTGAGGTTGTTTCCACTCCTCTGTGACTAGACAAGGAATACTGTCTTGACAAGACAAGATAAGACTAGACTAAGTGTTACTCAGAGGTTATACTACATAGCTAATTTTTTCAGCTTTTGAAGAACTGCTACCATTGAGTCACATTACTGCAGGTAAAAGTATGCAAACAAACAAACAAACAAAAAAAAAAACAAACAACTAACTGTCCAGTCTGCCAAGTAGTCTGTCTCCAAAAGGATTTATAATGGTGACTTACAGCTGTTTACAGGGACACTATTATACTGTGTAGGTGGGTGATATACAGCTTGATCACTCAGAATTAAGACTGGAAAGGCAGAAATAGAAACCCTTTAAAATTATTTGTATTTGTACAATGAGAGTGCATAGTGGCCCTGGAAAGATTCAGGTGGGCTGGCCATTCTGCAAAATACTGACCACAAGACAGTTTGTCTATGAATAAAGCTAAATCTAATCTCTTTTAAGACAAAAGTAACTAGTAGATAAATGAAGAATTCATAAAGAATCAGAAGGGTAGGAAAAGCAAAACTAATACAGGAATTGCAAAGTTTGATTATCTCCCAAAGTTGTGGATGAAGACAGATTTGTTTCCAAAAGATAGCCTGAAAATTTAGAAGAAAGATTGTGGAAGAGAAGAATAGAAAGAGCCCTCTAGTGAGCTAGAACAGGTAACCAGATAACCCTACCTGCTGCAAATCATCCCAGTCACCACGTTTTTTTCACTTTCTAACACCAAGTTTAACCAGAAAATATTTCATTAACATGTTATAATTACAGTTGTTTATAAACAAAGAAACAATAAACGTAATTGTCAGTTTTTGTGTTTGTATTGCATGTTATTATATGCAAGACTTTAGCTATAATATGTGAAGTAGAACAGTACAGATAAGAATGGATTTTTCATATGTATAGAAGTCATCTTACAAAAATTAAGAGTAATTGCAGATACCTGAGAAATTTATGCACTGTGTAATTACAAAGTACTAGAAGTCCAATTGTAGACTTTTTGATAATTGGCAAGATTTTCATTTTCTTCCTTCTTAGTTTAAATATTGCTTTATCTAAGATGATTTATTTTTTGTTTCATATCAAGTTAGTAGGTTTCCAAAGGGAAGATTTTTCTAGAGCTTTTCTATTTGTTTTGCTAGGAAATAAATTTCCAAGAACTCTTTATGTGTACTTTTTATATTAAGGAATAAGCTTACTGAGTCTTTTAAATAAAAACATATATATATATATATATAAAGTATATTGAATCATTTAAATAAATGCATAAATAAAAATCATGATACGGAAAATCATTTGGGTCATCAGTAAAGAATTACGCAGCTCATAAAAACTTTCAGTTGAGAAAAGAGTAGCCAAGAAATCACAAAAGTTATTACATAATAAAAGCATATTTTGAAAAGTAAGTTTCTGAAGACTTCCTAGAGCGCCTCAGTCCTATAAAATTAAATGAACCCTGTACAGCACATTCTATCTTTTAGAAGAGAATAGAAGAGAACAGAATAGCTCAGCTGGAAGGGACCTACGAAGACCATCAAGTCAAAATGCCTGACCACTGTAGGCCTAACCTAATGTTAAAGTATATCATTAAGGGCATAATCCA